CAAGAATGATATTATTTTTGTGGCCGCTAGTGCCAATGAAATGAAAAGATGAGTAAAAGACTATGAAATGAGCTGAAAGCTCTTTATATAATAAACATTTGGGAGTATCGTTAGTCACCGAGGAAGGGTAGGTTGAAATGACCTAATCCCGAAACTACACGTGTCGATGTAGGTGTGTATTGTGATTATTCCCCTTGTTTGGGAGGAGATTGATGTGATGAGATTATTCCCCTTAAATGGGATGAGATGATTTCTAGCAATGTGTGATATCGATCCACACGGCATTGTGGTGAGACGGCCTAGCCGGTCGGGTTGAGATCGGACGCCATACCACACATATAGTGGTGATTGTGCTTGAGATTGTGATTGAGATAATGATTGAGATCTTGATAGTGACTGTGATTGTGGTTGATTTCTTTGGGTGAGACGACCTAGCCGATCGGGTCGTGATCGTACTCCGTACCAAAAATCACGGTGGCATATCGGTGCTAAAGATCTCCCAACCTAAAATATAGAAAATTTACTTGAAAACTTGTCTTGCTCCTAACTTGATGTCTTGGTATTGTTTGAGGCTTCTGTTGATTCTATGATTGTTCTTCCTTATTTTATTATTTGTTCTATTGAGAGAGTGTTTATTCATTCATACTAGTACTATTCCATATGTATTCATGTTCTTTTTGCCGGGGGCGCTGCATCTTTAATGGATGCAGGTAGTTCCGCAGCAGACGACTTTGATCAGTGATAGCGGTATACCCTCTTCCCAGCTGACTTGGTGAGCCCCATTTCATTTCGGAGTCGTGTATCTTTTGTTCATTGTGTATTATGTTTTGAGGTAAAGCCGGAGCGTTGTTGCCGGTATTATCATAGTACTCTTTTGTATCTATTAGAGGTTCTGTAGACATAGTGTGGGTTGTATGTTGGTGTTGGGAAAGTCAAACTAGTAATGTTGTATTTGTACCACTTGTTCCACTTCAAACTATGAAAGTGTATGTATTTTTGAGAAGTTATAAATGATGTAACTAATGGTAATGAATTGGTGTTGCTCACATGATCTTCTCTTGGTCTAATTAATAAAATTGATCGTCTCTTTATTCATAGGTGAGTTCAGGTAGAAGGTATTGCACAAGCTTGTTCGGCCGGGTTATCTCGGTTGAGTCCCAGTCGCGCTCCCCGAGGTCGGGGCGTGACAATACGATGTAAAGTTATTAGGGTCTTCTTAACAATCCATACAATGCGAACCCAAACTAATTTGGGATTGAGATGTAGTTGATTCATTGATAGTTCATTTCAATTACCTGGATGCATCTTAGTAGTAATTATTTAAGGAAGACATTTTATGGCACCAAAACTTGTCACGTTTGTGTTATATGATTTATACTCTTCTTTTTTAACGTTTGTTGGAAGAGAGAAACAGGTGAAGCTTACTCTAGCCATGCTGCATGATGATAATGATGGTACTTACTTCTTCATACTCTACAGCATCTAATTCTTGAAGATGTGCCCCTTTGAAGAACCGAGGTAGTAGTAGGAATTGTTTGACGGGAACTAAAAGCATGATCATTAAAGGTAAGAAAACTCCAGCAATGTGATCCCGAAACAGATCAGCAAGTAGATGCTCTGGATGCGATTGTCTTGAAAAGTACAGTCTCAACGAATACGGCGTCACACTCTTCAATTACTCTGTCAAAGAAAAAAAATATTGATGAGAACAAGATAATGATGCATGCATTTTCTTTTACTTTCAAATACAAACTGACTGAAAGAAAGGCTTCAAGGATGATGGAGTTACTTGTATCTTCTGCATGGAGCCGTGAAAAGCAGTAAGATTCGTTCCCAGAACTGGTTTCCTGGTAAGCTTTCAATGGCCATGAAGCCAAAGTAGCCCTAAAGGACTGAGGTCGGAATCATTTTGAGAAGAGGCATCGCGGCCACACATCCTCCTACCATGGTGGACTGTAGCAAGTTGCTCAACCTTTGCTCTTTTACTTCAATGGGCAACAAATCATCTATCTCCTTCTCAACATCAAACACCGTTGAAGCCGATTGAATGGTAGACTCTTTTAACCCTTGTTCATGAATTTGATATTACTAGATGTTTCACTATGACGGGAGATTTCTACAATTTGCAAGATATAGGATAGGAAAACAGTTGCATTGAATGAAAGAAGTGAAATGGACTAAATCATACCCGAGATGATGGTTCTTGGTAAATCAGTGGACTCTGCATCTGTTGATAGGCTTCTTGCATGCCTTCATATACTTCAGCCAAATTCCCATTCTCAGTCATACATTTTCGTGCATTTGCAACTAGTCGATTACGAAGCAACTGCGTAACAAGAAAGTAAGTCAACTGATAGCTGGTTCTCTTTCTCTGACATACATTCAAACACCTGATGCGGTAATCTATTTTGACACAACTTGCTCTCATGAAATGGGTATATTCAGTGTGGCCAAACTCTTTGTGTGCATTGGAAATTATGAAATGACTTCATTTGCATGGGGATACCCAGAAGACCACAAGTGATTACCTACCATAATAATAGCAATAGGCCATATAACTTCTTGACATTCAATGGAATGAAGACCAATTGGTGGAAGGGAGAATTTATACCATAAAACCCAGTAACAACAGATCATAATGGTAGGAAGATGGCTTCCTCAGGTTAAATTCGTTTTGCTTAGCAAGTTGAGATGCCACATTGTGATCAAAATAATACAGGACAGCAACCATTGTTGCTGGAATAAATGCACCAAGAACGGGGACATGTAGCATATCACTACTGGAAAATGGCAGAATTCCGACTGCAAAACGGTCGGAATTCGGTCGGAAATCACGAATTTTCGACTACTTTTCGACCAAAATTGGTCGGTCGGAAAATAGTTGGTCGGAAAACAATTTCCGACCGAATCTGTCGGTGATTTCCGACCAAAGTAGTCAGAACGATCAAAAAGGTCAGACGACCAAATATATTCAAATTTCCGACCATAGTGGTCGGAATTTTATCGACGGAATTGGTCGTAATAATATAAATAAAGATGATTATTTATTTGAAATTAAATAATAAAAATATACAATTTCCGACCGAATCAGTCGGAAATTAATAATTAAAAAAATTATTTAATTTCCGACGGAATCCGTCGAAAACTGTTAAATATTAATTTTGTTTTTAATTTCCGACCGATTCGGTCGGAAATCTGGGTGTTTTTGGTAAAATCTAGGCAGCTGTCCGACTGTTTCCGTCGGAAATCAGTCGGAATTTTCTGTAAAACTTGGCAGAATTCTGCTCTATTTTGAGCTACACGACCTGTCAGACTATTACAATACAATAACGCTAACAACCAGTCAACAAATATAACATCTAAACCAATAATACCAACCATTAACACAACCAATACCAACCATTAACACAACCAATACCAACCATTAACACAATCAATACCAATCATTAACACAATATAAAGTCTAAACGAACAATACCAACCATTAACACAATCTAAAGTCTAAACCAACAATACCAACCATTAACACAATCTAAACCAACAATACCAACCATTAAACCTTATAATTTTGGGCATAAAAACTTCCAAATAGTAGTCCATATTCAAGTTTAAAAACAAAACATAAAGTTGTCTCTCACAATCAAGTTTACCAATCAACCAAAACACCACACCTAAACTACTACATATCAGATTTAGTTTGTTTATCCTCATCATCAGATAGATCATGCCCATGTTTTCTCATGAATTTCTTCATCTTAACGAATGTTCCGAATTGGGAGTCCAACTGTTACTTCAAATCACGAATTTCATTTCTCATATCTTTCATTTGTTCTTGATTTTGAGAAGAAGAAGAATTGGCTAAGAGTGGGTTTGGATGACCTGTAGGTCGACGTACTCCAAGTCCGTAGACTCTGCCTTTGTTTACTCCACCTGCTGCCTCTATCCACAATGAAGCCATATCATAAGGTTCTAGTTGAGTTGAAGGAGGCTGAGTTTGTTGCCATTCTTCCACCCTTTTATGATAATCTTCCTGAAATGAAAATATAACTATTATGTAAACAAACTAATATTAATAAATCATAAATAATTATGAAGTTAGTATTTTACATATGTGTCCGACGCACGCGTCTCCACCTAGTGTTCTCTTGTACCATCCTTCTTCTTTTTCTTATGCGCCTCCTTGAAGACCTCAGTGTGACTCATATCTCGCCCTCTTTCCTTTTCCTTCATAACAAAAAGTATGAGTTAGACATTACAATCGTAAAATTCTATATGTAAAACTAAGAAAAATTTTATAAGTAATTACCAATCTTAGTTTATGGGCCGCAAAACTAATCGAACCCCTTGTGTGCTACGAGCCACGATTTGCCTTTGCTTGTTCACTCTTCTTCGTCCATTCTGCAGTATTCCATTTCTCAAGAAGTTTATCCCAAACCTCTTCTCTTAACCACTCCGGCATTTTACCAGCATTTCGAGCAACGAACAGAGTATCTTTAATCCGCTTAGCAGCCTTCTTCTTGAAAATATTATTTATTTTATTTTAATGCTGAGGATGCCATGTACATTTTGTCTGCAATATAAAAAAAGTAACATTAGATGAAGACGCTAATTGTTAAATAAATATAATCAATTTTTACCCTAAATTGATTCCATATTTGCTCTAGGTGTTTGTCTCCAAGAATTCCACGGCTTATGATAAAATGGCTTCATAGAATCCACAACCAAATGTGTAGACTGAAAGGATAGAAAAAACCTGCATTAAAGTTAACATATATATAATTAATAAACATCTTAAAGTTTCAAAAATTTTAATTATAAATAAATATTCTTTAAGGTTAACATATCTAAAAGTACATTCAAAACTTAAAAAATAGTATAAGAACCTTCTTACCCATCCTCGTAAGGGACAATTATCAATCGATTATAACTATCAAATTGTACATCCCCTCCAAGATTCTACCTATGCCTACTAGATGGTGCAGAAGCAGCACTAAATGTAGCTAGCCTCCAATATCCAACCTAGATATGCTGGGAATGGATGATGATGATGGACTGGAAGGTGATGGAGCAACAAAAGACGAACCATCATGCTGACTACGATGAAAGCTTGGGGATGCAGTAGCTGGTGAGCCACCATGCTGACTACCATGAAAGCGCGGGGGTGCAACAACTGGTGAGCCAGTATGCTGACTACCATAAAAGCTCGGGGGTGCAGCAGCTGATGAGCCACCATGCTGACTACCATGAAAGCGCGGGGGTGCAACAACTGGTGAGCCAGTATGCTGACTACCATAAAAGCTCGGGGGTGCAGCAGCTGATGAGCCACCATGCTGACTACCATGATAGCCTGGTGAAGATGATGGTATAGAAGGCGTGGGTAAAAAGTTAAAAACAGTGTTATTTTAACTTCCTTTGGTAGGCATAGAATAATACTGAACTTTATTATTAGATGGAGGGGATATAGTGAACATGGTAGATGGCAATGAAGTCGACTGAGGAGGATGAGGAAGATGATGGCGAGGAAGAGGAGGACTCATATTTGGCATACTTGAGGTAGTTAGAACAGATTATTTTTTCTTCTTAGATTTTATCTTTTCTTTCCCCTTAGATGCCATATCTGTAATATAATCATAATAAAATACAAAACAAAAATACAACAAGTGATAGTAAATATACAATAATTATTCTACAAATTAAACGACTAAATAAATAAATAAACAACCTAACAAGTCATAAATATATAAAATAATTTTGCAACATAATAAATAATTAAAGCAATAACATAAAATGCTTAACATGTCATAAAAAAACATACAACAATTCTTCAAATATATTAAATGATTGAAGGAATAACAACCTTAAAAAGAATAACAAGTCAATCTTCATCGCTATCTTCATAGTAATCATCTAAGTCTTCATCATCGCATGTTTCACTTTCATCTAGTAATTCTTCCTCATCACTTGTTTCATGTTCAACACCTCTATCTTCGTCCTCACTTGGTCCAAGGACAGAAGGATCAAAATCTTCATATATCCCTTCATTATGCTGCAATTCATCATCCACTATTGATTCAACATTTGAAATGTCATTATGGTACGCCACATCTAATGCATCTTCGACTACCACTCTACCCACGAGCTTTGTTTTCAAAACTACCCGCCATGCAGACTTATTCTTGCTCAAAGGATAAGGAGCATAATATACCTGTTTCACCTTTTGTGCAATGATAAAGAGATCATAAAGTCTATACTGCCCCGTGTGTTTAATTTTAATTATTTTGTACTGAGCATGCGCCTTTGTACCTCTATTCGGTATTGGATCATTCGAAAGAGTACCAACTTTTTCTTCGGCCAACCTACAGTATACTCTAATTCCAAAATCTCTTGAAGTACACCATAATAATCAACATCTCCATCACCTTTCACCCACACCCCACCATTGTTGGTTTTCTTTCCATTAGACCATTCTTCTGTATGAAACTTGTACCCTTATCAAGTACTTAGACATCATTCTGACTCTAGGGTCAGGTCCCAAGCTATATCACGTAAAAATGGATCATTAATGCCATTAGCTGGATCATGAACCTATATATATATAATTAAATATAATTTAGAATTTTAAAAATAGTTATAATTAATTTACATATAATAAAAATTATGTTAAATAATAAATAATACTTACAAAATCTTTAAACCACTCTGAAAACTTGGGATAAACAACATCTTGCCCATATGTACCAACAAAGTAACTGCCATTATAACTTTTATTAGTTAAATCAGTGATAGATCTAATATAAAAGTTCGTAATATATACGAATATATACTTACCTATAATAAGGTTGGACCTCAGGGCAATTCAACAATACATGTGTTGTAGCTGACTTTAGCTCCATCTCAGTCAACCTTTGCTTTGGACTATTCTTTGGACCTCCTTTACTTGATTGATTAAAAATGGAAAAGGGTGGTGCCAAAGGATCGATTTCGCCTTCATCATCATGCCGATTCGGTCTATTTCTCAAACATGGCACATCATGTTCAAAATAGTATGAACAGAAATAAGATGTTTCTTTAGCCACATACGCCTCGCCTATCTAGCCCTTAATTCTTGATCTATTTTTTATGGTCCGTTTACATTTGCCAATAGTTCTGCATAGTGTTATTTTTAGACGAAACAATCTTTAAAGCAAATGCAAAAGATAAATGATTAAATTTCATTACCTCTCGAAGGGATACATCCATCTACATTGAACTGGCCCTCCAAGTCGTGCCTCTTGTGCAAGGTGAATTGGAAGATGTTCCATTACATCAAAAAAACCAAGAGGGAAAATTTTTGCCAGCTTGTTTACAGTTAAGATAATGTTACTCTACATATAAATTAGGTTCTCCACCCTCAATGTGCAAGAACACAAATCCTTGAAAAAGAAACTTATCTATGTAATCGGTTTCCATATTCGATCAGGCAATGCATTGAACGCAATAGGCATCAACGCTTCCATGAAAATATGACAATCATGGATTTTCATTGACGCCAACTTCCCTTCTTTCATGTCAACACACCTGGATAAATTTGATGTGTACCCATCAGGCATCCTCAAATTGTTGACCCAACTACAAATCTCTCTTCTCTCATCCAAGGTGAACGTGTAACTGGCTTTGAGCTTCTGAATCTTGTTGTTAAAGTATGTCAGATACAACTCACTTCGCCTACAATATTCCTTTAAGTCTATCCTGGCCTTTAAGTTATCTTTGGTCTTGTTAGTAATATCCATAATAGTGTTAAACAAGTTGTCAAAAGAATTCTTCTCGATATGCATGATGTCTAGATTATGCCGAAGAAGATTGTGCTTCTAATAAGGTAATTCCCAAAATATGCTCTGTTTAGTCCAATTATGTGTGTCACCATAACCTGGTATATTATATGGTGGAGACTCTGTTACTAGGCAGATCCCTTACTCTGTTCCAAATTTCTTCTGAACACAAGTAGGCCGGTGGCTCCTCAAAATCAATTCGGTTCTTATTAAATGCACTTGTATTTCGCCTAAATTCATGATTCATTGGCAAGAATCTATGGTGGCAGTCGAACCATGTATTTTTACCTCCATGTTTCAAAGTAAATGCTTTTGTGTCTTTCATACAACAAGGGCAAGCTAACTTTCCAGCAGTCGACCACCGGGACAACATTCCATAAGCAGGAAAATCATTTATAGTCCACATCAAAGTAGCATGCAATCTGAAGTTTTGTTTAGTTGATATATCATATGTTTCCACACCTTGATTCCATAATAATTGTAACTCATCAATCAAAGGCTGCAAGTATACATCAATCAAACTTTTCGGATTGCGTAGACCTGGAACAATACAAGTTAGGAACATATATGGACTTCTCATACACAACTCGAGCGAAAGATTATACGGGTAACAAACACTGGCCAACATGAATATGGTGCAGCAGAGACAGCAAATGGAGTAAATCCATCTGTGCAGAATCCCAACCTAATGTTTCTTGGTTCACTAGCAAACTCGGGGAACACCCTATCAAAATACTTTCACGCTTCTCCATATGACGGATGGCATAGAATACCAGGTGGCCTTCTATGTTCATAGTGCCACCTCATATGAGGAGCTGAGCTCATTGATGCATACAACCTTTTTAACTTAGGTATAAGAGGTAAGTAATGCATCGCTTTAACTTGATTTTTTTTGTATTGGCATTTGTGACTTCCTTAAAACGAGGCTGATTACAAAATTTATAGTTCTCTAGAGATGCGTCATCCTTATAAAATAACATGCAACCTTTCTTACAACAATCAATTCTCTCTGATGAAAGACCCAACTTAGAAACCAATTTCTTAGTAGTGTAGAAATCTTTTGGTAAGTCAATGTTACTCGGATTAAGTTCATTCATAAGCCCAATAATAGAATCAATGCCCGCTTGAGAAATAGAACTATCCGATTTAACACTTAGCAATCTAACTGCAACAGAAAACTTGGAATGCACTGAGCCTTCATATAATGGACGACTAGCTTCCTCTAATTGTTCATAGAAATGCTTAGCCTCATCATTTGGTTCGGATTGAACCCCAGGAAACATCCCAAAAGCATCCCTCATCATTTCATTGTATCGAAATAAACAATTATAGTATTGATGTTTGGCTACTTTCTAGTTTTTGCTCAAACTAGTATCGAAATAAAAAAAAACCTCACGGCGCACACTCAAATGCGAACAAGAAAGCTCGCCTCGCCTGCTCTATAGCGAGCTAAGTATCTCGCTACGCCTGCTGCTGCTTCAATTCAATTTTGTTGCCAACTTTTCCAATTCCTTTCTCATTCTCGTTTCTTACTTTTCAACTCTTCTTTTGCCTTGTTTCTTTTTGTCTTCTTTTGCATTGGTCTTCAATCCTTGTCTCAACTATTCTTTCTTCATCAATAATTTCCTTATTATTATATAATCATAAGCCCATTGTTTTAGTGCATGAATTACACTTTAAATATTTATTTTGCTTCAATTTTATCTCCAATGTACCTACACATAAAATAAACTCAATTAAGCACAAATATGGTATAGTTTAGCATTAAAGCCCCAAAATGCAAGGTAAGTAATGCACTAAAAATATGTAATTATAGCCAAACATCAATACTATAATTGTTTATTTCGTCAAGTCCTGAATATCGCCTACTTTCTTGTTTTTGCTTTAATTGTTTATTTCATCAAGTATAACGTTACTTGATTGTTGCTCTGATCTCAGGAACTTAGATTGAATGCACAAGGTCAGAAGCCAGGACAGACTTAAAGTCTTTAACCCCGAACCTGAGAGAACATTTCATAGGAGGTTGAGGGAAGCAAGGGATACAAATAAACTTCAGGCACTCGTTCAATTTCCTGTGAACATGGCAGAGGAGCAACACATGGTTGTTCAGGAAGTGGCAATGCCCAGCAATGCTAATGTCACCTCCAGCATTGTGAAGCCCAGAATCACTGGGCACTTTGAGCTGAAACAGAGCATGATCCATCTACTTCATGCGAGCGGGCAGTTTATGGGTCTTCCACACGAGGATCCACAACAACATATCCTGAACTTCTTGGCAATTAGTGATACTTATATCACTAACGGGGTCACTTCCGACTATGTGAGGCTCACACTTTTCCCATTCTCTCTGTTGGGCGAAGCAAAGCGATGGCTGAAGGCAGAACCAACTAATTCTATTACATCATGGAATGATCTGGCAAGGACATTTCTGGCAAGGTTCTTCCCTTCAGGCATTGCTAGAAGTGAGATAGTCGCCTTCAAACAGAAAGCGGGGGAGTCTCTATACTCAGCTTAGGAGAGGTTCAAGGGGCTGCTCAGATATTGTCCTTATCATAATTAGACAAACGAAGTGTTAGCTCACACTTTCATAGAAAGGCTACATCCTGAGACAAAAAGTGTGGTAGATGTTGCAGCTGGAGGTAAAGTGTTAGAGAAAAACCACCCCACACATAAAAAAAACCTCGCGGCGCATGCTCAAACGCGAGCAAGAAAGCTCCCCTCGCCTGCTC